GCAAACTAAACTTCCTTTTCAAAGTGGAATTCATAAATCCAAACAAAGACTTGAGTACTTGCATGCTGATCTGTGAGGTCCTGCTTCTGTCTCTACTTCAATTGGTTTTAAATATTTTTTGCTAATAGTTGATGATTTCTCAAGGAAAATTTGGGTTCATTTATTAAAGTCTAAAGATGAGACATTTTTTGTTTTTAAGGACTAAAAAATTTAAGTTGAAAATCGGGTTGATCTTAAAATTAAATATTTAAGAACTGATAATGATTTGGAATTTTGCAATTATGAATTTGATAATCTTTGTAAGGAATATGGCATCATGAGACACAAAATTGTTCCACACACACCACAACAAAATGGAATGGCTGAAAGAATGAATAGAACTGTGTTGAATAAAGTTAGATGCATGCTATTAAGCTCTAGACTGCCTAAAATGTTTTGAGGTGAAGCAGTTAAAACTGCAACTTATCTGATTAATAGGAGTACTACTAGTGCTCTAAACTTTGCTGTTCCTGAATATGTGTGGTCAAATAGTCCTGTAAACTACTCTTATCTGAAAATATTTGGTTGTGCTGCTTATGCTCATCAAAATGTTGGTAAATTAAAACCAAGATCATTATAGTGTATTTTCTTGGGTTATGATGAACATGTTAAAGGGTACGGATTATGGGTTAAATCTGAAAAAGGTTATAGAGTAATAATTAGAAAGGATGTAGTTTTCAATGAATCCTTGATACCATGTCTTGGAGGAAAAGAAAATGCTTGGACTGAAAAAGATGTTGAAATTGAGGTGGAGCCCTCCTGCAGTAACCAGAACATTTCTGTAACTACTATAGAAGAAAATGAAAATGAAGAACGTGTTATTTTACCAGAAACTGAAGTTGAAACTGAACATGTTGAAGAGGATGATTCTGTAACTTTCCCCTTTGATGAGTATTAACTCACATGAGATAGGGAGAGGAGGCAAATCAGACCCTCCACTAGATTTGATAGTTACACTTTTGTATCCTTATTTACCTACCAAGACCTTACTGAAAATGAGCCAAAATCTTTTGAAGAAGCCATGAAATGTAAAGAAAAAAAAATTTTGAAGATGGCTATGGAAGATGAAATGTCTTCACTACTTAAAATTAAGACATGTATATTAGTTGATAAGCCCAAAAAACAAAAATTAATTGATTGCAAGTGGATTTATAAGATAAAATCTAGAGAAGGTGATGATAAAAATATTAGATATAAAGCTAGACTTGTAGCAAAGGGTTTCACACAAAAAGAAGGTATGAACTATACTGAAATTTTTTCTCCTGTTGCTAAGTATGTTACTATCAGATGTCTGTTTGCACTTGTTACACAATTTAAATTGGAACTTGATCAACTAGATGTTAAAATTGCTTTCCTGTATGGGGAATTAAATGAAATAATATACATGAGACAACTAATCAGTTTTGAGGAAGATGATCCTAAAAATACTGTTAGTTTGTTAAAGAAATTCTTGTATGGCCTAAAGCAGGCACCTAGGTAGTGATGCAAAAGATTTGACATTTTTGTCTTGAAACTTGGATTTAAAAGAAGTCAATATGATACTTGCTTTACTGCAAAGGTAGTGGAGTTAAAAACTCATTATATCTGGTCCTCTATGTGGATGATATGTTGTTAGCTAGTTCTGATAAATAAAAAATTGATGATATTAAGTCAAAGTTAAGTTCTGAGTTTGATATGAAAGACCTTGGTGCTACTAAAAGAATATTGGGCATGCAAATTTGGAGAAACAAGGATAAAAATATGTTGTTTTTAAATCAATTTGATTATGTGTCTAAAATCTTGAAAAAATTCAACATGCATGATTGTAAGCTTGTAACAGTGCCTCTTGCTAGTCATTTTAGACTGTCTTCTGAATTTTGCCCTAAATCTGAAGATGAATATGCTAGAATGTCAAAAATTTCATATGCTAATGTAATTGGTTCTGTGATGTATTTGATGATATGCACTAGACCCGCTCTTGCATATAGTATTATCATTTTAAGTAGGTTTATGAGTAACCCTGGTGAAGAACATTGGTATGCCTTAAAATGGTTATTAAGATATCTTAAGGGATCATTAAATTTAGGCTTAATGTTTAAATCAGATAAAAATAGAATAAGTTTAAAAGGGTATACTGATTCTGATTTTGCTGACAATAGAGATAATATAAAGTCAACCTCATCTTATTTTTATACACTGTGTGGTACTGCTATCAATTGGAAATCTCAATTTCAGAAAGTTGTGGCTTTGTCCTCAACTGAGGCAGAATATATAGCTGCAATTGATGCTGTTAAAGAAGGAATATGGTTGAATGGTTTATTGTCTGAAATGGGTTTCAATAATAACCACATTGTGCTGTTTTCTGATAACCAAAGTGCTATTCACCTGAGTAAAAATCCCATGTTTCATGATAGGTCAAAACATATTGATGTTAGATACCATTTTGTAAGAGATATAATCTCAAAAGATGAAATTAAGATTGAAAAAGTTTCTACTCAATTTAATCCATCTGATATGAGTACAAAAGTAATTCCTTTAAACAAATTCTTAAATTGCTTGAAACTTTTATCTGTTGATTCTTTGTGATTCATATACAGGTGCTTGGAGCAAATGAAAAAGACGTACGATCATGCTCCTAGCTGCACTAATAGTTTAAATTCTGTCAGCAAGGTGGAGATTGTTGGAGTCGAACCCTATTCTCCTCAATTTGATGCTTCCATAATTTGATTTGTGACAAAACCAATTTAATAAGTGTTGACACTTTACTGGATAGCCAACACGTGGACTATCTCTGGACGTTGGATTAAACCGGTTCATATGCTCTTTGTTAAACGGTGGAGCCTTCTGGAACCTCACAGACACAACCCTTCATCTTGCGCTTATCTCTAGGGTTTTCAAAAAGAAAATATTGGCGATTTGAGAGATGCTGATTTTCTTTGAGTGTTTCATATTTAAAATCTCTGATTTTACATAGAGTATAGTGAGATCTTCCTTCGATTGTGGTATTCTATGTGAATAGTGAAGAAATCTGAGTGATTTCGCTGTTGTAACATTTTGGTGGTGTTCGAAGGTTTTGTGGGCTGAGATTTGAGTGAATCTCTGTAGATTTATTACTATACTTGAGAGATAAGTCTCATTTTCATCTCTCTGACCAATCTGTAAATCTGTTGCCATTTTTGGTTGTTTAGTGCAATCGAGCATAATCCAAATCTTTGGATGCTCAACGGGGGATATAGGCGTTAGATGTGGTCGCCGAACCTCCAATGCTTAGGCCGAAATAATTCCTTTGTGTTCCTTTAATTTTCTACAATTTTATTTCTGTTCAATTGAGATTTTCTTGTTTCTTGATTTTAATATCGTGTAGTCCTGTCTTTACACTTTTAGATTCAATGATTCGATAGATAGTATACTCGATAACTCACCAAGGCAAGAAAGGATACATTGGAAAATTACAAGAGATTATTAGATAAGAAATGTACATCGATGTATTAAAACTATTACAATTGTTCTCTCAGACTCACTTAGTTGCTCTCAAGGCATCTTTGCTCTAACTTGCTTAAGCCAACTTTTTATTTACAAATTATTCGCCGCTGTCCTAGTATAACTCTGCCGCCTTTTAATGGAGGATGTAGATCATTCCGATGATCCGATCCTATCCTATCCTATGTTGATACCAACTTTCTTGATTCCTACTAAATATGCATAAGAGAATTTCTAGCAAGATTGTCTCAATAACTATTAGACATCTATAAGTTTTTTAAACTACCATGACATCTGTCTGTAATGTTCTCAAGAGTTCTTCCATAGAGCTCTCTAGATTACGATCTTCAAACATTTCTCCTTAACATCATAGATAGCTCCTTCATGACCCTTTCAACGTAAATTTAGACTCAGTATTCTCTGCAACTATTCTACATGGTGTTATAATATTCCACAAACTTCATTGGCCAGCCTTAATATCTAGTTGCATCTCTTATATCCAACTTTCGATTTTTCCTTGATCTGCATGCATGGTAGGTCGTAGTACTACACCCAACTCTGTCCCATGCTTTTAGCCCCATTGCAATGCCAAACCCTTGGCCCTTTGCCCCATTGCAATGCCAAACCCTTGGCCCTTTGCCTTTGGTATCCTTGTAACTAAGCCTATGACCCCTCACTTGCAACATATGTCCGTATCCTACTCGAGCATTATTGAGAACTGATGTCGATTGATTTTGCCGTGTTTTCAATTATGTCATGGCTTGACGAATGACTTGTGTGTTATACACAAAAAAGGACGAAACTAATGTCTAGTGTTGTAAACAAAAGAACATGATGCAAATAATTTGAGACAAATTAGTATGTAAAATGTATTAAGTCCTTGTTTGAGCCCTATTTTGGGGAAAATAATGAATTTTGAATAATAGATTGATGGAGAATGTATGGTTAAAAATTAGAAAAAAAATGAATTTGCGTGTAATAGTATTTTATTGAAGAATGTTTGATTGAAAATGAGTTTTGGAAAAAAAAAATGATTTTTTAGAAGAAGTGGCTCAAACAAGGGCTTAACAAGATCAAAACCCAGCTCTTGAATACAAGATTCTGCTCTATCGTTCTCGTAATCACATCTCCAATCAATTTTTTAGTACTAAATAATTAGTCAAAATAATATTAATTCACTGATGAATTAGTTCGTTCAAAACAGACAAAAACAAGATACACTCCACACGAATTAGACGTTAACAAAACTTTTCACATGAATCCAGTAGTAACACTATTATATAAAAAAATAGATAATAATAAAAAAAGATAAATATTTATATATTTTTTAAATTTTATGCTTATTAAAAAAAATTATATATATGAAAAAGGGGGCATAGTGATATATTCTAAATATTTCATTGTAATGAAATCAGAAAAACGTCAGTCACCCACTCCTCGCCACGGTTCATTAAAGTTGCCTGGTGCACCCCGAGCTTCATGGACAGCATCAGAGATTAACGTAGACGCTCCTTTTACAAGAACGACAGAGATTTGTATTGCAGCTGAATCGGTCCACTCCACCTGTCCCCAATCCACATGCTGCAACTCTTACACTTTATTCTTGTTTAATTCAACCAAAATGCACTCCAAATTTCCCCAAAAATAGCAATCGCATCACACACAGTTTCGATTACGAATCCATTTTTGATCGAAAACGCAGTTTTGGTTATTTCAATGGCGAAGACGATGAATCTATCAACTGCGATGTCCATATCGGGCGTAAAATCAAATCCGAATCGTCTCTCTTCTACGAACAACGTCGGTCAATTATTCTTTCTCTGGACCCGTAAAACAATCAGCACTAGACAGAACTTGGCGGTTAAATCCGCCAATATTGTTGACCCATTCCGAGGCATAAGTGAGAATAGGGAAAAAATTGATTCTAGTGATGTTACCAGTGACTCTGGAATATTTGTAAGTCCTTCCCTTTTATATGTACTAGAAGATATTAAAATTAATTTTAGGAAAAGGGATTGCTGCGAATTTAATTTCTGTTGGCATGCTCATACAAACACGTTTGTAATTGCACGTATGTGTATTTATTGAAGTGATAATATAATTTGCTAAACGAATCTCTCTTTTTCGGTGTGTGCATGTATTATAAATATGGAAAATAAAATGGGTTTCCTAAAAATGATTTTATGAAGTGGTACAATTTCTATGAGATCTGAAAAAAAAATAAAATAAAATAAAAACTTTAGTTTCACACATTGGAATTTGGCGGAAATTCATGGATGCTCTGGTAAATAAGTAGGTTTATGAGCACGTGGTGATGGATTATCATAGGACAAAAGTAATATATACTATTTAGCAAGTGGAAATTGGTTGCCACAAGAAAAAATCTGCTCCACGTTCAGCCTAAATTTGATGTGCAGAAAAATTCTTTGAACCCCAGGGTGTACTTGGGTTTCTATTAGGTAAATTTAGAAAAATGTGAGAATACGTAGTGATTTCTAAAAATATATTCTTATATACATGTAGATATCTATCTAACTTATAGATGTATCTTCGAAAGTGATATTAAATGATTTATTGAGTTTCAGTCTACTGATTATGGTCAGGGACTGGCACAGGTCAATTTAAATGATCGAAGAAAAACAAAGATAGTGTGTACAATTGGTCCTTCCACCAGCTCACGTGAAATGATATGGAAACTGGCTGAAACTGGAATGAATGTAGCGCGTTTAAATATGTCTCACGGGGACCATGCTTCTCATAAGAAAACCATTGATTTGGTAAAAGAATATAATGCTCAGTTTGAAGAGAAGGTTGTGGCCATAATGTTGGACACCAAGGTATGCTTCGTCTTGAAGGTTACTATGTAAAAGTTGGTTTCTGTATTTACGAATTCAGGATTCTGCAGATAATTATGAACATACAGCATGCATATTTACCACCTCATTTACATTTTCATATTTCTATTATATATACTCTGTCAATATGCATTCTGTTTTTAATTTGAAGGTTGATGTAGTCGTTGGGGTTTTAATGCATGGCTATGTAAAGAATGTTCATGTTGTGTCAGTCAATCATTTTGCTGTACATTTATGATTTACTGACATAACACTTTCATTTTCTTTTGATGATCCGTTAACTCTTATTCAATTAAGCTTTAATTTATTCCACTATATGTTTCTTTATGTCATTTATACATGGACAATGTGACACTATTATAAGACATCTCGAATTGAGAAGTTGACGCATTCAAATGTAGGACAAGTATGTGAAAAATGCTTTCCCACACCATGGAACTAAAAAATCAAAATCCTTGACTTTTGCATGCTCTAATACCATATTAGACGGTCACTTATTTAAAGCTTAATTTTTTAGATGGTGTAAGATATTTATGTGTAATTAAAGCAAAGCAGCTCTGGTTTCTTTGTTACTACAAAAAATTGTGCCAATTGAAGAACATCATAGCCTCACACTCCTCCGTACAAAATGAAGGTCTTCCATTCTTTAAGCTCTGGTAACTGGTTATTGCTCTTTCCTTGCACTGATAAATAGACTGATATCAAACTAGTATGTGAAAATACTTTGTTGAAGTAGGCAGCAGAACTATGAAAATGTAGGGCCGATTTCTGTAATTGAGGAAAAAGATGGGATTTGTGGAGTTCAGGTATGTCCAGGATGAGTAAAGATTTGAATCCTGAATCAGATATAGAAGTCTCGTGGCTGAGTAGGATGTGCAATAAGAATAGTTTCCAGGGAAGGGATATGGTTCAAATAAAGATTATAGTGCCAGACTTGCAGGGATGGAGTGTGCATCACTGTCCAAACGATGTGATCTGCTGTTAAGGTCACAGTGCTTGTTGATATAGTTGCAATGTTCTGATTTACTCTGTTTTACTTATAGTGTCATAGAGGTTGGACTTATTCTGTCCTTTTACAAAGGAAACATCATCTATGTGGTTATTCCTTTCTTTAATATGTTTTTGGTGCATTATGCACCTTGAAATTTTGTTGATTTCTATTATCAATCAGAATTGTTATCCCGATTATCTCCGTGCAGGGACCCGAGGTTAGAAGTGGCGATGTGGTGCAACCGATTTTGCTCAAGGAGGGACAGGAGTTCTGTTTTACCATCAAAAGAGGCATCAGCAGAGAAGACACTGTCAGTGTTAATTATGATGGCTTTGTAAATGATGTAGAGGTTGGGGACGTTATACTGGTGGATGGTAAGTAAAATCATGTAGCAAAGGTACTTGTTGAACCCTTGTTTGCAATGTGTGCGCATGAGGTGAATGAGGTGATAGATTTTACTGTTTTGTCAGACATTCATGTGTAGTGCATATAAGCAGTGAAAAATGTCAAGTTTCTGGCCTGGATTTGAATTATTTGTGAGTTCATCATATTCCTATATCTTCATCTTCTTCACCCAATGTGATTCTAAGCTTCTTTTAATACAGAAGCATCAAATTTCCAATTTACTCTATTGCAATTTATTTATTTATTTATTTTTATCTTCCTGGGTCATTTGAGTTAAGTTTGTTTCTTTGTACTAGTGTATGATGTTTTTATCTATAAGAAATGTGTTCAAGTCATTTAGAATATAATTTTTGAGAAGAAATGCAGTGCATGTTTGTGCAGTCAGGCTCGGAAGCAAATTATCTTTTTAGCTTGTTTCTATTTCATTGTGAAACTTGTTAATCAAAGGACGGATTGTCTTGTGTTACAGGTGGGATGATGTCATTAGCTGTGAAATCAAAGACAAAGGATTTAGTTAAGTGTGAAGTAATTGATGGTGGCGAATTAAAATCAAGGCGCCATTTAAATGTGCGTGGGAAGAGTGCAAATCTACCTTCTATAACAGGTTCAATTGTTTCTGTGTTACTCTGCCATTTTATATGTTTTCTATTCTTTTCATTCTCAAAATGGTATAAATAATCATTTCGCTGCCGATTTTTATCATCTCAGATAAAGACTGGGAGGATATTAAATTTGGTGTGGACAATGAGATTGATTTCTATGCTGTTTCGTTTGTGAAGGATGCTAAAGTGGTCCACGAATTGAAACAATATCTCAAAAGTACAGATTTTTCATCTCGTCTGTGGTTGGAAAATATTTAATTTTATTAATTCATTTTTTTTTCCTACCTGACTTTAAATGTATCTTTCTGCAGGCTGTAATGCAGATATTCACGTGATTGTTAAGATTGAAAGTGCAGACTCTATACCAAACCTTCATTCTATCATTTCTGCATCAGATGGGGTTAGTTAATCCCTATTAGTGGTTGCATCATTAATTGCTAAATTCTCCAAAAAACAATGCTCTTGATAGTTATGCCATTTATACATCAACCAATAAAATAATCTTCGGTCAAGTTGGCTTGATTAAATTACTACATTATGATGGATCTGGATATAATTTTTATTGTTCTTTGTCTATCTACATGTGAAGCACCAAAAAATGTACCTATTATAATTGTGTTCTGTGCTGCCTCACATCACATGTGAGAGAAGCCCCTCTTTAAGTGAATGCAATAAGAAATATTGTAAATTAAGCAAAAGTGGAGACTTTGAAGGCATAAAAATCTAGAGTGTTTGGTCACCCTTTACCTGTATCCACCACTTATGGTGACAGACTGAATTCTCCTGAATCTATATGTCTTGATCTTCTTCCAAAGTCATGAAGATCAAATAACTCATAACCTTTTTCCTTTACTTACAACATTTATTCACTGTCATACTCCTTTGGTGATGTCTAGTTTCTCTTCGATAAAACATTTAAATCAGGGAAGCACAAATGAACACCAAATTTCTGCTATTTATTTTATCAAGTTAATGACTCATATTTTATCAATTTTCACGTAGCAGCGGTTGAGTTGAGCTTATTTGTGTCATTTTTTCTAGTTATATATTAAAGTAGATAGATGGGATGTTCATAGTTCAAGAATTTAGTAAAACGCCAGACAAGTGATAGAAAACTCCTCAGAGATCTTTTGGTCAAAAGATCACGGTCTTCTAGCAGAAACTTTTTGTCTCATTCAGAATTTTGACTTGCGGCTGCTGAAGTATTCTACTAAAGGTGCTCCATTTAACTGCAAATTTGAGGTGCTTTCCATAGTAAAAAAAAATTGTGGTAGAATACAATGGGTGTTATAAAACTCGAAACTTTACAAAAAAGGAAATTCAGTGTTCTGGCTCCTTATTTGAGTGCTTAAGTTGAGCCAAAGCTGATTTAGTCTGTGAAGATTAGGATCTTTGAGCTTGATTAGGCTGAACAATGAGTGCAAAAATGTTTAAACGATATTGTTCTTGTCCAAGTACATTAGCATCTGAAACTTTCACGGCATGTATGGTTAACACCGCTCGTGCTTGTTTGTCATAGTAAAAAGTATAAATTCACAACATCCACATCTATAACCATATCCATATACCTCAACTTTTAAAACTTCCCACTCACTAAAGCATGTTTTGAAAGTAATAGCTTAAATTATAAATTGATAGAAATGAGTGGTGAATAAGAAGGAAATACTTGTGGGTCCCTTGGAATATAGATGAAAGTGGCTCGAGTGTTTATAAACAGCTTATAAACATGAGCCAAACATAGGCTAAGACTTACTAAAATTATTCATTAACTTCTAACTCTATATATATCTCCTCTTATCAGCCTATGAATATAAATGGCTATTTCCACAACTGAACCAGCTTTACTCACATCAAAATTGTCTTATAACCAAGATGCATTGGGAAGTTCCAAACACCACATGTACTGACTAAACACAGATTCCTCTAGGTATCCCTCTTGTAGATATGGAATAAACATCCACCACCTTAAAGTCATTGTCAAAACTATCCAATATTAAGATATTACAGTTATAACTGTCACCTTTAATTAACCTCTACTGTACTATTTCTTTCTTCTCATTGGAAACCTCTATTTTAAGTTTATAATGGACTAGTACTACTTTTACCTGTATCACAATACAATTTCTGTTAGACACAGTAATAAACTTGCACAAACCTGTAGACATTACCCACTTCCCTCCTCTCTCTCTCTCTCTCTCTCTCTCTCTCTCACTTGCTCTATACCCCGACACACACACCAACGTTTGGATGTCTTTTGAATGTATTCACCACTTCGTTTCTTTTTTCCCATTTTCGGGAAAAAAAAAATAAAAAAATAAAAAAAATAAAAAATAAAAAATTGTTTCTTATGGATGTCAATCTTTCAAACATATGAAATACTGCTTCACATTATTAATTTCCACAGCGATAAGTGGGTTGCCTAATTATATAAAATATAGAATATCAATGTTTTTTACAACATTAACATGACAACTGGCGGCTAAACCGTCAAGATAGACTTCTTTCCGATAAAGAGACTTATAACTTTACAAATTAATGCTAATTCAATTAGTTTAAATATCTAAACTAAAGTCACAGTTGAACTGCTCCCGAATTAACTTTCACATCATGTATATGATATGTAATATATTTGTATTAGTAATAGGAAAACTAACTTTTATTATGGAAAGATATCTAGTTAACTTTTGTGACAACTTATGATAGGCAATGGTAGCCCGTGGCGACCTTGGAGCTGAACTTCCAATTGAGGACGTCCCCTTATTGCAGGTATTTCATGCTGTCACATGTTACTCTTTGATTCTTATGATTTATTAATATAATTGATATTAAAATATTTGATAAGAGTTGTATATGTCCATTTACAATTTGAATTGTATGAAACAGCTGGACAAGCAAGAAAAATGCTCCTGGGCTTTATTTGGTCACCGTATTTTATCATGGCAAGTGAATATAAAATTGTTTTCTGCTACTTTTTTCTCCTACCAAAATCAAGACCAATTTTGAAAACATTTTGAATGTAGTTGAAATTGCTGGGATAGAGAAATAACAACAATGTAAAAATTATGAAGTTTGTTCCTTGGTTTTGTTATGCTCATTTCCTTCCGCTTTAGCTGAACATAAGAAAATAATTGTTATGTTTTCCTTCTTTACCTTCATTGGAATCCAATGTCTAGAGGGAGACCATTCATTGGAATCAAATGTCTAGAGGGAGACAAAATGACAAGATCAGCTCAAACCATATTTTTAATTCTTTTGGGAAAAGGATTACACTTCTTTTCTCTTTCTAGTGGGACATTCCTTGTGTTTTGCGGTTTGGTTTGGGGTGAGGGTTTTTGTGTCAGTGACAGGAGCTTTCAATATACTGATAGATGATCCACAAACTTCATATAATATGACTGTAGATATACCTGTCATGTTGTTCAGAACACTAACTTCAATTTTAAACTTGAATTTTTTTAATAAGATCTCTGAACAGGGTGATTTTGTGGTTCTCAGATGATCCTTAGAGCATAGCATTTCGCCAAACTTGCTCATATTTGGGGCATTTACCCTGTCAACTGTGTTTGCTTTAGGTTCCATAGAGTTTAACTGTATGCTACCAAGATTTCTCTTATGTGCCATGAGATTATTGTCTATCATTTACTGATCTTTAAATGTACGCATTGTATTACATTCATCTTAATGAATGTATTACCCGTAGTTGGTGGTAAATCACAGTACATATCCATGCATGTGCAGGAAAACTGATCATGTCAGATATACAAGGAAATGTCCCAATATTTCTGAAATTTATATGGGAAAATATACTATTAGCTCTTGAACAAAAGTATATTTGCAGTCAAACATTAAGGGGCATGAGCAATGTGATGACTTGGATGCATGTGATATGAAGAATAATAATTAACCGTAATAATTTGTATCCTTGTTTGTAATGTTATAAGCAGAAGCATTCACTGGTAAGATAATCTAACAAAAAAGGTCCAGAAAAGATTCAGTGAAATAGGGTTGTAAATCCAATCAGTAACCATGAACCTGTCTGATCTGCCTGCCAAATAGTGGTTTGGGTTGGGGATTTAAGGTAAAATTATGTGCATCCTAACATGGACGTGTGTGGCGGGTTTAGACATCTTCATCAGTTCCCGTAGATAAAGAAAGCAAGAAAAATTAACCTCAAGCTGACTGATTTTCCTGTTCAGCAAAGTCGGACCATGTGTGGTCTAGTTCCTTGTAAGCACTAAACTAGCTCCATTAATCTTGACAAGTGGATGCTGCCGGGTTCTTCCTGATGCATGCTTCTGGCTTGATAAACTGAATCTTGATTTCAACCACCTTTTTATATTTTTTTATCTATTATTTTGTAGGTTCTCTTGCTCTCTCCATAGATAAATATAAGGGTCTGCATGTTCAACTCATCCCATATTTAACTAACCCTCACGTGTCAACCTGCATGGTACTGCAGGACTTGGTTCCAGCCCTTTTTTTCGCAAAATCATTTTTAACACCTAACCACGAATCTTATATAGGACTTCTCACATTATCCTCTTTAACACCTTCTCCTCCCCCACCTTTAACCCAATCCAATCCACAAAAGATGGGGAATGTAGTTTACCATTTTTGGTATTTTGTTGACATGGACCAGGTGAACAGTAACAAACTGATATGTTGTTACCAAAGCGACTTCATAAGAAAACAAAAATGATAAAATGCGTTTAGTGCTCTGCATGTACATTGAACCGTCATTTTTATCATTTCTGTCTCACGGATGAGGATATCCCATTATAATTATTTTTAATGTTGATTTCACTATACTAGTCTGAAAGAGTAGAAAGAAAAAATGAACAGACTATATTAATTCGCCTACTTCTGTATAAGCATTACAAGCTTGTAAATTTATAATTTAACTGGTAATTTGGGTTCATGCTACTATACTTGTTATGCTTACTCATTTTATTTATTTATTATTATTTTTTATTTTTATTTTTTGTGACGCAATCCTTTTCCTTTTACTACATTATCATAGAAACAGTAAAGTGATTGGTTTTATCCTCTCATCGGAACACACGAGGATTGAAAAAAATCCAATGTTACCCTCTTAACAGGAAGACATAATAAGAAGGTGTCATAGCATGCAGAAACCAGTGATAGTAGCCACAAACATGCTGGAGAGTATGATTGATCACCCTACCCCTACAAGGGCAGAAGTTTCTGACATTGCGATAGCTGTACGTGAAGGTGCAGATGCCATTATGCTGTCAGGTGAAACTGCCCATGGGAAGTAAGTAACTTTAGATCCCATAATGTGTGTATGCTGCTTGTTTCTTCCATTTTTACTGTTTTGTGCAGGAAGATACATTAAATTATTCTCACTTACGAAAATTATAGTATGTAGGAAAAATCTGGAAACTAACACTCTTTATTTTCTGTCCAGATATTCTGTATATATTTGTCTAATTTACAACTTGTATTATTGATTAAGGCATTATGACCTGTATTTACATGTAATTTCCTAGAATATCCAGAGTTCCAAAATATGTTGTTTCCTTATCTACTCTATTTATGTTTCTGTACAAAGTTGTTTGTAATCTAAGAAGCATGGACAGGAATACAGAAACAACAAGTGATTTTTTTGAAAAGTAGAATACCGACGTATCAAGGACATTATTAAAATTATATTTTTATACATCATATCTTTATTTTTTTATTTTGATAGGTAATCAAATAATTTTATTAATCAAAGGATAATATATAGAAAGTGTATAATCAATTTAAACAAGAAACGAACAACATGAAATTAGGCAGCCTTTCTATAGGATTAGTAGCCGCAACATGAAACCAACTATACAAAGGCAGGTAAAACAATTCTCCGATCTCTTCTGTTGTCCATATTTAGTCTTCAAAATAGCGGCTGTTCATTTCTCTTCACACACCATACAATACGTCCGGGAATAAGATCCCAAGTAAGCTTGCTATCCTTATCACAAAGTTTTCTCCTCCATGCTTACAACAAGTCTTCTATACGCCTTGGCAACACCAAATTCATATATTGAAAATCCAGAATGTCGTTTCACAGTCAACGAACACCATCACAATGAATGAACAAATGGTCAATCATGTCCCCATCCTTTTTACACATATAACACCACTCAGTAACATGAAAACCTTTTCTTCGAAGATTATCCACCCTTTGACACCTGTCCCCTTATAACTGTCCACAGTAAAAATGCGATCCGTGGAGGCAATTTATATTGCCATACCATCCTTCAGGGGAATGAACTTTCCACATCTCGATAAGGATCTAAAATAAGTGCGAACTGAAACTAACCTCCACCTACTATAATTATCCTCTCTTACCCGTATGTACACCTCATGCAAGGAGGTCATAAATAGTGCATAAATATCAAATTCCTAATACTGTAACCTCCCAAAAATAATGTTCTAGCTATAACTCCTATTGTGTATGGCTAATACATCATTTACCATAGCAAAAGGCACCAAAGAATTGCGATGCAAAGAAGGAAACCCCGCCTTTAACAGTTGATTTTCACACCAACAATCATCCCAATATCTGATATTATTACCATTTCTTACTACAAAGGTCAATCTATCTCGAAAGTTGCTTCAACCTCGTCGAATATACCTCCACAAACTTAGCCCGTAAGAACCACAATTCTCGACTAAACACCAACCCCCCTCTATCACACCATACTTCACCCCCATGATTTCTCTCCAAATAATCTCTCTCCACTCCAAATCGCTACCGTCAATTGCACAATAAGGCTTTATTAAATAAAATAAGACTCATCAATCTAAGGCCTCCCATCCTATAGGAGAACAAACAACACCCGAATTAACCAAATGAAATTTTCTCTCCTATCTCAACCTTGTCCAAAGAAACTCAATTTGAATCTTCTCTAATCTATTTGTCACTGCAACAGCAACAGGAAACAACGACAAAAAATAAGTAGAAAAATTAGAGAGAATGGATTTAACGAAAGAAAGATGGCATTCCTTTAAAAGGTACCTACGCTTCCATTCCACTAACTTCCTCTTCACCATTTCCACTACCATTCTAAATATGTATACGTTTAAACCGTGCCCCCTAAAGGGAGCCCAAGATATGACATAGACAACTACACAACCGTACAACCCAATATAGCAGCCAACTCCTTCACGTTAGCGATCTCTCCCACTATAATAGCCTCAGATTTCCATATTTATCTTCAATTCAAACACCGCTTCAAAGCATAGAAGCAAACGGGTTAACTTCCTGAATTGCTCATCATTTGCATCACATAAAATTAGCGTATCATCTGCAAATGGGAAACCTGCAAGTGACCAATGTTAAAGCCCCTTAATGAATCCTCCCCCATAGCTTTCTCAAGTATAGTCATGGGCAAAGTTCTTCTAACCATGTACAATATGTGTATTAGTGTGCCAATTTCAGATCCCAGCTTTATGGAGATTAATATGCAGACAGAACGCTTAACTGTTGCATTATGTACATATCATGCCATTTGAATATTCCAGACTTTTATTAGGTGTTGCCAAGTCCTGTGTAGGGTAATCGTGTAATTGTCTTATCCTTTTCTGTCATTTGATTTTTCGAAGATATCCATTGAAGGCCGTTAAAGTAATGCACACTGTGGCACTGAGGACTGAATCAAGTCAACCATTCAACAGCACACTGCGAGGTCAATTTGTTGCCCATGAGGTAGAGATTATTAAAGTTGAGATATGAGAGTTTAAAGAAAGATTTCTGTCCGATTTAACATTGTTTTAAATAGTTTTATATTGGTTATAATTACTGGGCTCTATAATACTGACTACTCCATGGACATACTTTGCAGAGCCATATGGGTGCAATGTTTGCTTTCCAAGCCACCACAATGGCCAACACCCTGGCTGTTCCAGTCATTGTTTTCACAAGAACAGGGTCCATGGCTATACTTTTGAGTCATTATCGGCCATCCTTAACAATATTTGCTTTCACGAATGTGTGAGTCCAAGGATCCCTAATGTTTCCTGTCATTTGGATTGTGAAATTACATCTTTCGTTAGTATACCTTTGTGTGCTTGTAATATTTGGCAGCTTGAAAACCTGAACCACTTAATCATCTAATTGTATCATGAAGTGTTTTATGAAACTTACTGGTATAGATTACAATTGTCTTCATGTTGTTCTGTTCAAGTTTACTTCTTACTTGTGAATAGGAGGCTGCATTATATTCAATCATTTGAATTATCAGAATATTTTACTTAGCCTGCATTATTTGCAGTCGTGTATCAGTAAACTTAGAAAGCTTGTAGGAGGTTGCATTTTATTTGATCATGAGAGTTATCGGTAAACTATATATGGATAGCACAATTTTTCCCTCTCCCATCCAAAATGAAACAATACATGGATAAATAAAATTTGAATGACCGGAGATGAATGCCTTTTCACATGAAGTAGTTAATAATAAATTAATTTGCTCTAAACTTGCTTGATTACTTTCTCAGTATTTCCATTTATATGGGAAACTTCATCACATTTTGAACATTGAGCTGTTAAAGAGTCATGCTTCTATGCCATTATTATGTCAAATGGAACTTTGTTTCGACGTTCCTGATGTGATTTGAAATGACTAGCAGGGGGGGGGGGTGAGGGTTGGGGTGGGGGTGCTTTGTTGCAGGTCTACAGCTCATTCTCTATTCATATGATTATCACCAATATTTTCATTCCTTTGTGTGTTTTCTTATGTATCACCAGTATATATTTCCCTGTATTTAAGCAGTCCCTCTTAATAATTCGTGGCCCTTTGACTTAGCTAAAGGTTGCGATGTAATCATTATTGTAGAAGACAAGAATTGAGTTAAATCCCTCAACTTACCTGAAAGCATCTTTTCCTAGCGTACGAACGAGCAACATTGCTTATAATAAATTAGTCTAGTGCTGACTCCTATTTTATGTGTGTATTTTCGTTTATTTGTATTTGCTTTCCATATTAAGACCATGCTCATATTTACCTGTTGTTGGCAGAGAGAGGGTGAAGCAGAGGCTGGTTCTTTATCATGGTGTGATGCCTATATATATGCAATTTTCGAATGACGCAGAGGAGACATTTTCTCGAGCTTTGAACCTTTTATTGGTTAGAGAAAATTCTCTGTGTATTATTATTTTTGCTGAAGGTCAGCTTTGTTTATTACTCCATATAAACAGTTATTTTGCCTTTTTTGTGTACCTTGTAGAGCAAGGGCCTAGTGAAGGAAGGACAATATGTGACTCTTGTCCAAAGTGGAGCACAACCCATCTGGCGTCGAGAATCTATCCACCACATTCAAGTTCGCAAACTCCAAACTTGATTCATCTATTTATTGTAAGTTACATTGATCCTTTTATGACATTATTGTACTTTTATAATTACGAAAAACTTGAGGCATTTTCCATTTTTATTTCCTAGGGTCTCTGGGGGTGTAGAGGATCAATCGAAGAGTAATGTGGTCCTATTGGCTCAAGGGAAATGTTTGCAGTTGATCAAATTTGCTATGGCCTTTGTTCTTCATTGAATTTCTTTAAGAAATGAAGTTACTCTGTACAGGATAGGATTCTAATCACGGACTTAAAATTAATATTCTTGTATTATTGTCATTTCGTTAAAACAATTGAGAAATTTTCTCTGTATATATATATTTTGCCTTAAATGGAATTTGCATATTTTAGTGTCGAATTGTGAAATTTCTTTTTGTTGGCAGGCACAATAACTTTTGAACCTGTTTACGCCGACTCAACTCCAATGTTTTGAACTGTAAGAGTATTCGAGTTGAGATTCCTTAATATATAAACTCGACACCCCATAGGGGTGAGTGTGTAGTTGAAAGAACAAAGATCGAACGAACTCTCCATTAATTCCTACTATTTCTAGTTTCCATCTCCTGGGCCAGGTTCTTTTTGGCCAACAGGTGGATCTGCTCCCTCATGTTCCATGCTTCAGTACTATTAAATGTGTCATTGGGTGCACTTGTTGACATGTTATGGAGAAATGTTTTTGGTACGAATGGTTGAAAATGAATCTGGGAAAGAGTGATTCTCAAAAATCACTTTTGAGGGTTAAGAATCGGGATTTGATTCTCGATTCTAAGACCAGAATCGGATTATTTTCATATGGAATTGAACTGAACTAAACTGGCTAGTTTGGTTTGGAAGTAGAAAAATTAATTCAATTAACTACAAGAATGAGCTGACAAAAGTTGGGAATCAACATATTAGATAAATCAAAACTGCTTAAGCAAATATGGCAAATTAAGTTGATAGGTGAAGAGTAGTAAAAACAAGCATCAACTTTTTAATTAAATAAATTTACATTATAATAGAAAAAAAGCGTAGTGAAAATATCAATGGGAAGCGTCTTCTTCTTCACAGAATTTTGTGTACTCTTTTCCATCCATT